ATTATATTATTAATACTATTAATATTATTTTTGCAGGCTCCACTACCCCACTATTATCTCAACTACACACCTACCCACCTACTCCACTACCACATGCATCAGGGAGCAAATGGCATGGATTTGGAGTGTATGAAATTAGCTTTAAATAATGTTTGGGGGGCCACGTGAATAGGAGAGCCTCTGGTTTTTAAGCTTTCATTTCATTTCCAGCAACCATTTTCAAAGGAGAAGAAAACTTGAATAAATGGGGCAAGCATCACGGCTTTACAGGGCATGTTCTTTCTCTCATCAATGGAGGATAATACCCCAAGAACTCAAATGGAGAAATCAACCAGCATTTTGAGAAGATCGATCTTCACTTTTCTTCAAAATTACCACTTCTTCACTCTAACACCTGCTCTTCTTGCTTTCCTTTACTCTGTTTCACTTCTTCTTTCGCAAATATATGTTTCATCTTCTTCTTTGCTTCAACCGATCCATGCCCGCCTCGATGATCTTTTTCAAGCTTCTGGGTTCCCTTATTCATCAGATTTTTTCACGCTTCTCAGTTTAAAACTTTCCCAAACCATCTGTTTCTCCGTTTTCGCATTTCCTTTCACGTTCTCTTTCTTCCTCGTTGCCAAGACCAGCATTATCGAACTTTGTTTCCGCCATGGGAGAACCTCGAAGAAACCTTGGTTGTTTTCATCGGTTCTTTCACTCTATAATCCCCTCCTCGAAACCCAAATTGTAATTCCATGTTGATCATTTCGACGAATGCGACGTCTCTCTCCGTTTTATTATTCGAGTTCAATCGATCAAAGGGGGATGGAAAGAAATTCGGTGTCTCTTTTCCCGTGTAGCATAAGATTCTCCGATTCAACCTTTACCCCACAAAATTCACTTTCAAAGTTTAATCCGCAAACCTTTCACATTAAACCCCCGCGCTTTCTATCCCCTGCTTTTCACAGCTTTAAAGCAATCTGCAAAGCAAAAGGAGTGGGTGAGTGATGGTTAAGGCCATAAAGACGAGGTCCAAACAAACCGAATGTTCTCTTAGTCACTGGGTCGTCTCCCAAACCTTGGTTTTGGGCGAAATTACTGTTGATTCGTAAGCTTTTGCTTTCGTATCCTGAAGTTGAATTCTTGTGGTGGATGGATAGTGACGCCATGTTTACTGATATGGCATTTGAGGTTCCCTGGGAAAGGTACAAAGACTCCAACTTTGTTATGCACGGTTGGAATGAGGAGGTTTATGATCAAAAGAATTGAATTGGACTAAATACTGGGAGCTTTTGAATGTTGCCATGCCACAGAGTTAGAAGCAGGAATTTAACCCACTATTGGCGTTTATGTTTCATTTATTATTATTATTATTATCATTTATTATTTCTACTCACTTTCATTTAATTTTATTTTTTTTCATTTATTTTGTTATTCAATCGATCAAAGGTAATTATTCAAATCGAACGTTTTAAAATTTCAATTTAAATTTAATTTTTCGCAATTAAAGACAACCGACAAATTAATTGGTACCGAAAGGGCGGTTCAAGGGTGCTAATCCTTCCTTGATCGTAACCGACTCCCGAACCCGACACGTTTCTGGTACAACGCAGATAAGGTAAGATGGTGTCCGACCTACCTAAATGTTTTTTAAAATGGTCGGTGGCGACTCCAATCCACATTTTCCTAAGTCGAAGCCCAAATCCAGGGCCCAACCGAAAGACGGTTCCGACAATTATAAAATAAGTGTTCAAATTATATCGTTTTTCACGAATGGTGCCTAAATTATTTTTTGAATCGTCCAATTGTTTAACATTATAAACGTTACCACTTTAGATATCCGTGACTTAACATCCATTAAATTTCACTGTTAAGTAACATGTGTCACCCTTAGATAATTTTAAAAATTGTATTTTTTAAAAAAGTTCAAAAAATATATATATATTTTTAAAAAGCCCAAAATTAAAAAAAAAACTTAAAAACCTCCCCAAACTTTGAAAATCCTAAATCTAGTCCATATACCCATGTCCACCAACGTTGTTCACATCGATTGGACTTCCACCTAGCCGTACCTCCACCAGAGACCAGTTACCCGACGAACAACGGCCTAAGACCCCAAAAATCGCAACAAAATCTACCCCAACTAACACGACTAAAAGGCGACCATCGTGAAGACCATCACAACTTCACAACAAGGACAACACCGTCTGACTACAGAGATGGCAAGAAAGGAGTAAGAGGCGGTGGTTGTGGTCGAAATGGAGGTGGAGTTAGAATTAGGGTTAGGGTTATAGAATCTAAGGGATTTTGAGACTTTTTGTAATTTTAGAAAAAATAATGTCTCTTTATAAATATAAAAAAATAATTTATATAAATTATTTGAAAATAACCTGAATATGACACGTGTCTATTAACACAAATTTTTAATAACTTTAAAGTGGTAACATCTATTAACACAACTTTTTAATAACCCTAAAGTGGTAATTATTTTTTTATATTATTTCAAAATAACATAAATGTGACATATGTTTATTAATACAAATTTTAAATTTTCATTTTTTAATTTCTAAATCCGTCATCGATTTAAATATCAAATTTTGTAACCTGCCATGATATACCGGCATGAAACCACTGTAATAAATTGAACAACGATTTGACTCCTGAAGAACAAGATCGAACTTATCGCATTATGGAGGAACAGGTAAATCACTTCTTTGTTAAAATATGTTTCATCAATTATGTAGGACTGTTCTCATAGCTAATAGTGTATCTCTCTGCTCAACAAAGAAGCCAATGCACCAATCTACTAACTGTCTAGCTCTCTCTCTGCTATCATGTTAATATTTTCAGGTCCTCTGGACAGTAGCAGAGAGAGAGAGAGAGAGACAGATAGTAGATTGGTGCATTGGCTTCTTTGTTGAGCAGAGATACATTATTAGCCATGAGCCTATGAGAACAGTCCTACAATGGCAAAATGATCATGTAGGATTATAAATAGAAAAAAGACCAAACTACAATGAGGACTTAAAAATTGCATTCAAATGATGCACTATATAATAGATACCATTAACACTACCCTTGGTTTTCCATGGAAGAGCTTATATATCCCAACAATAGCCACTCAATCTTCGGGTTTTCCATAAATTGATAATGTCTGGTGATCTTTGTATTGGCACAATCGATATTCATTCAGTCACCAATAAGTTGCCATTTTCATCCTGAATCAAACATTCACACACAGTACAGACCCAGTTGGCAAGTCATTATTGGAAATGATGTCTCGATATTCCCGAGAAGTTAAGTTCTCAGTGGCAGGACAGAATGAACACTTTTAACAACCTTCTGTTTTACCAGATAACCTAAATGGACGATACGTAAAGAGTAGACCACTGCACTGCAAGATCAGTGATGAGGAGAATGCCAAACTATATTACTAGAATTGCAAACATTTTCTACAGTATGTACCAGTGCCCAAAAGAAACATGGATTTGCAAAAGCTCAAAGCATGTGCCCACTTTTTACAAAAATAAAACCAAAAGTAGCTAACGCATCGACTCTGCTGGGGATCAAACACAGAATCTCTGGTTCCTAGACATGTGCCTTATCCATTGGACCACAGAGTCGGTTAAAGAATTTGTGCAATTTCTAGTTTAAACGTGATAACTTTGGATGGCCATTCTACAGAGTGCCCCTAAAAGTTCAAGCTCCTTACATAATCAATGCAATATATTCATATTAAATTTTAATTCTAGCGTTGTAAAATTAAAAATTGGAATTACATTATTATCTTCTTCTTCTTTTCATTTTACTTGTATTATCATTTAAAATCTCTTTAAGTGAATTCTATGATTTGTTTGGAAATTTAAATTTGGATTCCATTTATGATGTAAATTAGTAAGAAATGAGAGGTATACATATATAAAATTCATTATGGTATATAATCGAAGAGTGTAAAAAACATAATTTTGTTTTCTTTCTCTGGAATGTTTAGACAATTGTTAGGTATGACTCATAAATATACTGGTAAAGAGGATAGGGTTATTTTTGTAAATATGTACCAGGGTACATATATATTGAATAAAAATTCTAGCGCCGCCTAAGGCACCGAAGACGTAAGAACATTGTTGAACATTGTTGAACCTCGTTAAAATTCTTGTGTTCTTTCCGTTTTCTTTACCCGATTATTCAACAACAATAATTTTAGTTTACTATCACTATCTGTGACTTAAGGGTAAAATCGAAGCTGAAAATGAAGAAGAAAACAAAAACCCAATGCTAAAATTCCCAAGAAACCACCTACTGCTTTCTTTTACTTCTTGTGAGTGTTCCTTATGTATCAGTTTTGTTCATATATTTGGTTTAGTTCATAGTACCTTTTCTCTTGGCTGCAATTGCTCTCGCTTCTTAGCTTGTGTCTCTTTATTTTTATGGCCTCACTTGGAAGATATTTGTTGTGCTTCAGAGCTAAAATCTATCTGCGTACTACACACAGAGACAGAAACATATATATATATATTCTGGATAGTGAGCTTTGGTTCCTATATAGAAGCCATATATGCTAATGAATAATGCAATATGTTGTTTCAGATTGGGAAGGTATGTGGTGAGAAGTGGAAGACGATAACATACGAGGTTTGCATATTGTAGTCTTGAACGGCTCTCTTTATTCCCTGTTGCTACTTTCAGTTCGCTTGCAGCATGAAATTGTAGCATGCTCCGTAACTAAATATAATCTGTCTGTTTTCATGATGTTCCAAAATGATTTGCAGTATCTGTTATGAACTTATGATAACTTGGAAATATGCTACTACAATTTAATGGTGGAAACAAGTTAATTTGCAGGAAATTAATTGGTGAAGATGAAGAAACCCAAAATTGATTCCGAGTATGATGACTAAATCGAAACCTGAGCGTTCTGGTACCAGGAAATGCATAGATGTAGTTGTTTATGAATTAGTAGTTGCAAATATTCAAGAATTTGCCTTCAAGTCTTTTACTCAAAATTCAATATCCGTGTGTTATACAGGAACAGCAGGCCTGAGGGAGATGAGTGCTTTCTTAATTCTCTCAAAAGCAGCTTGTAAAGTGGTGAGTGATGCTGCATACGATATCCGTATGCAGCTATCGTCACCGAATGCAATTCCGGGGACTAGTGCAACCTGAGCCTTCTCCAGGATGTATCGACAAAGCGACTCCGAATTCTCAATTTTACCAAAATCTTCGGCTTCAATTCCATAGTAAGAACTGAAATCGATGAATAGATAGAAAGCTCCCTGCGGTTCCGATACCGTAATGCCTTGCAGTTCATTGAAGCTTTTAACCAAGAAATCTCGCCGTTCCCGAAATGCTTTCACCATGACAGAAACCACTTCCCCACCGGCATAGCCCAAGCCTAGTGCAGCAACCCCTGCTTTTTGAGCAATACTGCTAGCACCTGAAGTGATGTGACTCTGGAGTTTATTAATTGCTTCAACAAAGTGCTTAGGTCCCGCAATGTATCCGAGCCGCCAACCGGTCATTGCAAAAGTCTTGGAAAAGCCGTTGACGGTTAGAGTCCGATCCCACATGCCTGGCAATGATGCGAAGCTCGTGTGAGTTGCTGGTGAATATATTATATGCTCGTAAATTTCATCGGATAGCACCAGCAGCTTGGGATGCTTTGCTACGATTTCGGCAATTCTTTCGAGCAGTGGTTTAGGATAAACGGATCCAGTTGGGTTTGATGGAGTGCATAGAATCAACAGCCTCGAGTTTTCAGTAATTTTAGAGTCGAGGAGCTCCGGATCCAACAGGAAATTTTCAGCAGACAGTGTTGGAAGAATAACAGGTCTTGCATCGGCCAGCTTCGCCATGTCTAGGTAACTCCACCAATATGGACAAGGAATTAACACCTAAAATAAATTATGTGCTCAAAATCAGGTTATTAACGAAACCTAAAGTTTCTGAACTCATAATATATTAGATGCATAATTTTCTTTATCAAAGTAGATGTTTAATTCCTTTTTATGTTGTCATTTTACTGTTCAATCATCATATGTTTAAAATTTTGTTATACAAGGAAAACTTGACATGTGATATAAATTTTAATTGCTTTTATTAAAATAATAAAAAAAATTCTTAGGATAAAGTATATAAACGATTCTCGAATTATATGATATTGTTTTGTTTAGTCTATTGACTATTAAAAGTTATAAAATATTCCCTTAACTATAGGTGATGCTTAGTTGAGTCCCACAACTATTAAAAGTTACAAAATTATCATTTGATTATTCATATGTTTCAAACTCGTTTTTTTTTGCTAAAAGATGGTAATTGTTTGAGGTGGACGTTAACTTGTTGACTATGATATGAAAAAATATGATATCAAATACAATATAATTAATAATAATTATTCATATCTTAGATAACAAGTTAATATTCAGCTCAGACAATCGTCAAATTTTTAACAAAAAAAGATGAGTTTTGAACATATAATTAAACAAATGACATTTTATAACTTTTAATATTCGAGAGATTTAACAAAACAACGTCCTATAAATAGGGAACTATTTTATAACTTTAAACAGTCGAATGCCTCAACAAAATAATACATTATAGTTATCTAAGACATAAATTAAATATATTGGAACACTTGGACTTCTAATAAATCTATTAAAAATACAAATGAAATTAAAAAAAAATAAACGCAATAATAAGAATTGTAAATAATTTAAAGACGATACAAATTCTTGAACATAAACCATAAAATATATATGAAACGTATTAAAAAATCGAAGAAGAAGATTACCTCATCACCAGGAGAACAAACTGCAAGAAGTGCTTGAAGAATACACTGCTTAGCACCATTGCTGACCACAATCTCATCATGTGTATAACAGATCCCATTCTCCTCTTTCAGCTTATTACAAATCGCTGTACGAAGTTGCAAAGTACCTCCACTGAGAGTGTACCTGGTGTGATCTTCACGAATGGCATTTATCCCGGCCTCGGCTACCATGATCGGTGTATTGAAATCGGGCTCTCCCTTAATCAATCGAATAACAGGCAAACCAGCTTGTTCAAGACCAATTGTATGAGCAGCTATAGACGTCACAATTGAAGGCTTCACAGAGTTGACTCGGGGGCTCAAAGAGATATCAACTGGTTTCACTCGGTTCGACATTGCAATTGCTCTAGATGATTTGTTTGGTTCAAGATGGGATATGGGAAAAGCCAACGTGAGAGATCTGGGAACTTTTAAATGCATTTATATTCATTTTTTTCATTGTGCATGTGAAGGACGAACATTTTGTCGGCTTTTGAGTTTGACCAACAAACCCTAAAGTTCAAATCATGGTACGAGGGCTGTAAATTATCAGACAGTTTGCCCGTTGTTACACTTGGACTACATTCACAACGGAACTTGGATAAAATCATGGATCTAATTACTTAGGTTTAAAATTGACAGGGACTTATATAGGAGTTAAATTAAGAAAGGAGATAGGATTTAATTTGATTAATCTTAAAATTATATGAACCATAAAATAGTTAAACCAAGAAAGTTGGGGCATGGCTTAGTTTGACTATTCTAAAAATCGATACAACCTAAACCTAAACAAACCAGTAAAGTTGGTGTATTTGGAAGCTTGCCGGCGCGGCAACAAAAACAAACTTTTAGGGTGCGTTTGGTTAACGAAATGTAAGATTATCAGTGGGAATGTAAGATTACCAGGGAATAGGATTACTGGGAATGTTGTATTTTGTGTTTGGTTGGCTTAGCAGGAATGTAAGATTACCGTGTTTGGTTAAAGGAATAAAAGATTATTGGAATGTATATTTGACTAAATTATCCTTATTATATATTTGTATAATATTACAAGTTGGAAAATATTTATATATTTTCTTTAAAAATTTAAATTCATAATATTTATATTTTTTTACAAAATTAAAAATATAAAAAAAATGTTTAATGAAGGGTTAAAATTTTATTTTAACTCCTGAAATTCATATAAAATTTTAATTATAGATTTTTTTGTAAATCTAAAATAATTTATGGATAAATTTGTAATTTAACCTTAGTAGAATTTTTATTATTCAATGACAGAAGAATGATATTTTTGAAAAAAAAAATTAGGGGCATTTTAGTCCAAAATACCGGTAATCCAACAATAGCTAAGGAAAGGAAGGTAATGACATTCCCGGTAATATACCCCAAAAAATCCACTATTGGTAATCTTGTATTATCGGGAATGAGATTCTCGGGCTAACCAAATGAGAGAATGTGAATTTCATTCCCATAAAAATCTCACATTCCTTCATCCAAACACCCCCTTAAATCCACATCATAGAATGAGGGCCAAGGCAAAAAGGGTTGTACAATATCCAACTCTTAGCTGGGCTGTTGTTACACTTGGACTGCATTTTTTTCCAAGTTAATTTCCTTAAAAGACAATAGAAATAGTTGTCATGGAGAAAACATGGGAAATTATTGTAAAAATTTTATGTCATGTTGCAGGCTTACAGCTAAGCTTGAATTGTCATCAAGTTGGAGTTGAAAACCGGTTTTATTTATAAATCGGGTAAACGATACCTAGGATCACTTAATTATGGATTTAGTAACAAATAAGTCACTTTTTTTTCTAAAAATTACAAACTGATCACTAGATTAAAATATTAATACAAATGGATCATTTCGCTGTTAAATATTAGATGAAATATTAGTCCTTAAAATTTATACTATTTATCCTTTTGATTTGAATTTAAAGTAATTCAATAAATTTAGTATTTCGTATATAGAAATTACATCATTATAGTCTTTATTCTTTTCTTAAATTGGTGTTGTTCTCCTAAAAAATATTATATTATTTTCCTGATTTAATAACAGTTTAACAGTAATGTATTATTGCCTCATGACGGAATGTATTTATCCAAAAAGAATAAATTAATAATCTTTTTAAATATAAATGGTTAAATTTATTGAATAATTTTTAATTAAAATAAAAGTATTAGAATGTATAATTTTTAAGAATTAAAAATATCATTATATCAAGCCATATTATTTTAATTTTAACAAAGGAGTTGCATGTTTATAATGATATCTTAATTGAATAAATTGTTAATATTTTTTTTAAAAAATAACTGGTTTATTATTAAATTCATACAATGACTTTGGATGTAGTTTACCAGATAATAATTTAGGTATAATTTGGGTTTAGGGTTTTTTTTAGATAAGTTATATTTTGTTATTCAAGAAAGCAGAATCTGCTATAAAGAACGAAGAAAAATCTTAACAATAAGCTGATTCAACTCCCCACCTAGCCCTTATGTAACAATCGTATACGGACTATAGATTTTATACGAGAAAGAAGATCCCCAGCAGATTTCTTGTCACGAAAACAGCTTTAAAATAACCACCAACAGATACTAAGGCAAACAGCAACCAAGGTTAACTCCTCTAACCAATCAAAATTAGTCTAGAAACCTGTCACAGCTTCAAAATACTAAACCAGTTACCCTCTGCAATGGGACAACAAAAAGAATATGATCCCTAAACTCCAAATCAGCCTTACAAAGAAGATAAACATTAACCACCGTCATTCGCTGTAATTGATCGAATGTAAGAAGTCTATCAAGTATAGCCATATACCCAATGACAACATGCTTTGAAATGTGCAAGGAAAATTATAACAACTTTTAGCCATACACCCAATGTAAGAAGTCGAACCACATTCCAAATCCATCTAATAATGACAGCAGTCCCATTACAGCCCGTAGAGAATATCATATCTATTTTGGGTCCTAAGTTTTAAGATCTTCAAGATTCAGTTAAACCCAGACTTGCAATCGAGAAACCAGAAATCAATCTCTCTCAAAACATATTCACCCACCCAAACAATCTACAAAAACCATGATTGGCTAAGGTATTCCAGATAAGCGTAATAAGGCAAGCCTTAACAATCAAGACTCTTTGAACTCAATCTCTTTCAGACTTGAGGGAGTAGATATATTGCCAGCCCACTCTAGCATTTTTCGCTGAGCTATCACAACCTTGTCAGAAGAATCACGAGTAAAGTGGCTCAATCTCGAATTTGAAATTTAATTATTTTATTTTGAATCGATAATATGTATTTATTTTTATAATATTATTAGTTTAATTGATAAAAACGAATAGTTATTACCCTTAAATGGTGTTGCAAAGGCCTTTTCTCTCAACTGGATAAATTATAGTTTTAATCCGTTATAAATTTTTATTCATTGTAATAGTGAAATTATGTTTTGATCCCACTAAGAAAAAGACTTTAATTTCCTGAAAAAATATAAAATTAGGTATGGCAAATTGATAAACTGTATAAATTCGTCTTTAGATTAACTCATACTCACTGACAAAAAAAAGAGCGTAAATTATGTGTTTAGACTTAAACTATCGGTCTTGGTCCATTTCAGTATCTAACTTTTATTTTTTTTAATTTAAGTTTTTAATAAAATATTAAAATGAAACAAAAACTAAATATTATATATGATTTAAAAAAATAAAACTTTAAATACTAAAATAGACAAAAAACTAATAGATTAAATAGTAGTTTAACGAAAAAACAAATTTTAGATATCTCATTGTTTTACATTTGAGTTTGGCACAGCAACTCAAAAAAGAAAAAACCAAAACAATTACACTTTCTTCAACTTCAACACGTTATCTTTGCTCTCACTGACGATTTTGATCAAACACGTAAAGCTCACCTGTCCGCATCCCTCTAAGGGAAACTAGCAGCTGTCCGCCTACGATCACCTCAAAACAGGGGAACGAACAAAAAGCAAAAGCCAATCACTGGTAATTGCTAACGGTGTCTCACATCCTAGTTCTAATAACATAGTTGAAAAGGGTCCAAGCAGCCCAGTAATGGTTGGTGTCATGATACTTGTGGTTATACATTTGTAGTAATACAAATGTTATTACAATTATTAAAAGATCGTAATTGTTTTTAATAATGATTTTAAATAATATATTTATTATTATATAACTATCTTTATTTAAAGCGATATTAAAATTCTTGGTTGGTGTCTGTCTGTCGCATTGTAATCATACCCTCTGCGGTGGGAAAGAGAGAGCACTCAGCCGATCCTGCGACTTTCGTTTACCGGACCATCGAGTTGTCAATTATCGATGCCACTTGCACGTGCAAGGCTTCACTTTTTTTCCTTCTTGTATTTATATTCTGCAAAGGCGCTGCAAATTTGGAAAGTACCCTAATAGCTCTACCAATTCTGCTCTTAGGCTTGCCTTTGCCTTTGTCTTGTTTCTTTTTGGTTTCTTATAAGAGGAATTTATTATCACTAAATTACCGATTCGGTTGACACATTTCTTCTTCGTTTATTTGGCTTTGAAATGTACTCGATCTTTTATCGTTTCGATTTTGATATAAAAATTTACGATATAATGTAAATATAACCTGTGGGAGTGAATATCATAGTCCCCCTGAAAAGCTACCATAAAGTAGGAGGAATGATCGTAGGATTTAAAGGATAAATTTATAAAATATTCACATGTTATGGATAAAAAGTAAAAACTATTTAAATTGTATGAAGACCATTCTAATTACTCCCAATCCCTTTTAGTCATCTGGATTCTAGAATCCAAACGATCTATTCTTATAGTGATGATAACCGGACACTTTATGTTTGTCTAGTTATTATAGTTTCCATTTAAATTCGATTTTATTTCAATTATTCAAATTATAATAAATTAATAAAAATATCATAAAACATCTAATTAATTTATATGAAAAGGTATACAATTAAAAGAGAATGATGTAGATTTGGTTAAAACTCAGCCTAAACATTTAGAGAAAGCGTGTTCCGAACTTGATTTTCAAAAAAATAAAAAAATATTGAAATTCGTTGAATTCAAATTATATTACCACTAGTACTAGGATTCGGAATCTGTTTGACTGAGATGAATCTTTTATGGATCCCAAAGAAGAAAATCAAATCCATATAACAAAAATGAAAAATCCATTAAAGCTTAGTTAATTGAATTAACTTACTAACTTTATACATGGAAGAAACTATTGCATTAAACTTAAAACATTTTTCCCAAACAAAAGGCTGAAAGTTTCAGCCCAGTTAGCTTTTCCAGATTCTTCTCTGCATTTTCCAGAAAAGCCATGGAAGAAAAAGGAGACAAAT